CCAGCAGCCATGATAAACAGTTGGCGGTTAAAGTTTTCTATGCACAATTTGATTTGACGAAAGTCACGAGACCTATTACTCTCTATCCAATCACGTTGAAGGATAAAAATAAAATTAAAATAAGCATGTAACGACCACAAACGGAGGACAATAGCGGAGTAAAAGTACCGATACATCACTTAAAATTTACTCAAGTAAAAGTAAAAGTACACAATTTTTAAACTACTCAAAAAAGTACAATTACTGATAAAAACTACTTAATTACTGTAACGTGAGTATTTGTAATTCGTTAATTCACACCCCTGATTTTCGGTAAGTGAAGAGTGCCTTGTGTTCAGGCCAGCCTATTCTCATGTTGTCCTGAGACCCCGGCCTGGATACGTGCCCAAGGTTCCCACCACTCCCTTCCGAGATCAGGTGGTGAACCTGCAAGCGCTGCCCCTGGAGGAGGCAGATCTAGCCTTGGCGTTGCTGTGTCCCATAAGAGCATTACGCATATACGTGGACCACACCCAGAGCTTCAGAAGCTCTGAGCAGCTCCTTGTCCGCTTTGGAGGTCAGCAGAAAGGGAAGGCTGTCTCCAAGCAGAGGTTGGCCAACTGGATAGTGGATGCCATCCCAAGGCGAGCCGTGCCCCCTGGGGGTGAGAGCCCACTCCACTCGGAGTGTTGCCTCCTCCTGGGCATTGGCGCACGGTGCCTCTCTGGCAGACATCTGTCGAGCTGCGGGTGTTTTTTTCTGCTGTAAAGTTGGGCATTTTAACATGGGGAGTCTATGATGCCATCGCCTTGGCGTACCAATCCCAAGGCGAGCTGTGCCCCCTGGGGGTGAGAGCTCACTCTACTCGGAGTGTTGCCTCCACCTGGGCGTTGGCGCAAGGCACCTCTCTGGCAGACATCTGTCAAGCTGCGGGCTGGGCGACACCTAACACTTTTGCGAGGTTTTACAACCTTCGTGTAGAGCCGGTTTCTTCCCGTGTGTTGGGTAATAGGTGATTGGTGGGAAGAACTGGCTTGGTGTCACGCTTGCTGCACCATTCCCCCTCACAAGGGGATGCAAGCGCCTTTCTTCTCCCAGTAGGCACAGGCACAGTACTGGTGTTAGCATGCCCAGAGTCCCTTTCAGCCCCTGTACTGGGCTAGGTGTCCATATGGCTTGATTCCCTACGGGTAATCCCATATGTGTATTCTTCCACGGTAAAGTTTCCCTCTCGGTAAACCCGTGTCTTCCCTTGACAGACCCGCTCTGTCAGTCTCTTCTGGCAGTTGGTCCATATCTACTCTAAGGTAGGACCTGCCTCAGAGACCCATTCCATATGTAGTACTGCCCCCTGGGTCAGTATCTCCACATGTCACCTCCCTACGGGTAGGATGTGCTCTCCGTAGCGACCTTTTCTTTAAGGCTCCCTTCCCCATTGTTCTGCCAGGCTGAAATGAACAAATAGAAAAGATTTGAAGCAATCGTTCACTGAAGGTTGAAATCCCTTCCAAAAACTTTTTTTGTGGACGGAACAGCAGCATGGCCTTCTCCAGCAGCGATGTAAACACCATTTGGTCCCCTTCGGTACCAAGGTCAGTGAATTTGCGCTGGAGCTTTGGGAAGGTTACGACCTTAGCGTAGCTTTTGTCTTGACACGCTACAGCTTGTCAACGTTTTCCATAGACCCCTAATGTCATCACGACATAACTCGTAGTGACCAACAGATAGGGAATGTCTCGGTTACGTACGAAACCCTCGTTCCCTGATGGAGGAAACGGAGACGTTATGTCCCCATGCCACAACCTTGAACCATTCGCTGTTGCCGGGAGACGTTCTCGGCTCCTCAGCGTAAAACCTAGTGAGTGGATGTGCGCTGTCGCCTTATATACCTGTGTGCACGGGGAGTGGCTCAGCATGCAAAATCCACTAGCCAATTCTCATTGGTGTTTTCTCTTAAACTCAGAGATAATTGGGCTCCCAAGTTAGACTCCTAATGTCGTCACGACATAACGTCTCCATTCCCTCCATCAGGGAACGAGGGTTACGTACGTAACCGAGACGTTACCTACAAAAGTTTCCCTTTTGTCACTTTCTTGCGATTCCAAGGCCATTAAAAAGAAAGGAAGCTGGAATGAAAATCTTGTTTCAAAGCATTAAACCATATCTCTTTTGCTCTCTTCAAGCCAATCTCCTTCCATAGTGTCTAACACTAAGAGGAGGCTAAAGAGCTTAGAAAAGTAAAAACTGCTGTGGAAAAGTAATCCACTTTATGCTCTGTGTAATATTGCTGAAAGCTGACAATGATTAATGTCAAAGTTTTTTCTACTCTTAGTACAACCAACTTCCTTAACGCGACTATAGTGAGAGGGCCTTCATAAATAACCTATTAGTATAAAGAGGCTATTTAAAATATGGGTCTATGACCAAACGTGAATTATGCAACACTGTCAAATATCCTATGTCAACCGCATACAGTCCACTATAGATCACCATTTTGTTCAACCAGAGCTGGTATCTACAGTTGACATGACACCCCCGGCCAAAATAGGTTCTTCAGGAACTTCTGAATTGTTAACAAAATCAAACTGTTGACAGTTAGACTAGCATGGAGCAGGAATATAATGATACTTTAGCACAGGATTGAGAAGAAGAGACAGACACATGCATTATTCAACTCTGAAAAAAAAACTGTATTCCAAGAGGTGAAGCTCTGACCCCCAACCATTCACTGTGATTAGTTCAGCGTAAAGAAAGTGTCATTGCCATAAAATGACTGTTAGCTCTGTAGTAGGGTAGTAAACAAACATGTTGTTTGGCTGAACCGGGCAATTATGCATGACTTGTCAAGTCAAAAGTTAAAAGCCAAGTAAAAGAAAGAAAGAATTAAATCATGAAATAGCATATGAATAAAGGTCTGTTATAAAAATGTGATTTGGTGGAGGGAGACCTTAAATTAAAATAACTGAATCGCCTGTTTGTCCTGAATGAATGGGAAAACACTTGGGGAATATTCAAGGAGATTGGCCTTGAGCAAAGAGAAAAGAGAACACCACAGTCTTACTCCCCAGCAAAGTATGATAAGAAAAAGCAGTAAGTACACATTTTCTTAAACAAATAATACATCAAATATCTTACATATGCCATGCCAATAGTATTATTACTTCCCTCTTTTGTTATTCAACTTTGAATTCATAGCAAAAATGTCTGACAAGCATTTGTACAGGAGTGCAAAGTTTTTTTTTTTTTTTTTGCGTTCTTATTTTCTTTGTCAGTGAGGGGAGGCACAATAAAAACCACATCTAAAAACATAAAGCTGGGCATCAGATTTTACTGTTATAAAAACGAACAGTCATTTATGATTGAGCATTCATGGTTAGTTCCTTCAGACCAGTCCAAGTAGTTTTAAAATCAAGTTTGTAAAGTAAGGAAAATGTCACAGTAAGCCTCCGGTAGCAGTCCTTCATGGGTCCATTTCCGTTGCCCGAGAACAGTTTGTCCAGTTATGGTCCAATTTATCTCTCTGTAATGTCTTCAAGTACACAAATAGTGCCCTAATAATCCACATATGTTATGGCTGCTGCTGTTCCTCCTTGTGTAAACCATTAAGCATCCTATAAACAACCTGTTGTCGTACACCTTGGACTTATTTTTTTTTAAAGCCCCCGAAAAAAAGAGAGAACAAAAGAGACATTGTGCCTGAGTGTATGTCAAATGTTAGCAGGTAGGCTACCTATCACATATTTACAATGAAAAACCGTAATCGAGAGAAATGGTAAGAAAGATGCTATATAAACGTATGTACAATGAAACCCTTATTAAATAATGGGATTTACAGAAAATGAACCACACAGCTCGTTATGTGGTACTACAACAAATAACAGATCTTTTTACTGAAGGCACATAAACACCTGATGCTGAAAAAAGGGGGTAAAATAAAAAGGGTTTGCTGGCTAATGCTAAACCCCATACGAACTGTTTGCATGTAATTTATCTCATGATTTTCAAACGTATCATCTCAGACATGTTTCACCAGTAGTGATGTCAAGTTAAGTGCCTGTGACAAAGTAATGTTAATAAGTTCTCAGAAAAACCCATCTGAATTGTGAAGACTGAAAAGTTTCCCATGCTCTTTTCCATGCAATTATTATGAATCATGACGCAGCTTTTAAGCTCCAAAAAGGATGCGAAAGCATAAAAGTGTCATGAAAGTGGTTTATGTGGCTCGTATGCTACATTCCAAATCTTCTGAGGACACACAATAGCTTTGAGAAACAGATTTTTTGTGTCCTTTTTGAAGTTTGAAAGCTCAGTCCACATTCATTGTATATGTATGGAAAACAGTCAGTTCAAAATGTCACCTCTTTGTTTCTGCAGAAGAAAGTAAGTCATACAGTACAACACAAGACTGAGTGCAGAATTTTAATGTTTGGGTGAAACTATCCTTTAAGCCATATATTTGGAGGGGGTGGGGGTATAATTATACTTCACTGAGTAAACGCCATTCATTTGATTTCATGTGCCCATTGAATGTTTCACCTGTCACTTCATACTTACAGTATGAGAGTGCATTGCAAACGAATGTATATTTTCCCACAGTGCCACTAATCTAATTTTTTGGTTTATTGGTCCATGAAACTGTAGGCTGAATGTGGTTGCTGTGAGAAGAAGAAAGAGTGATCTCTTTTAATCAAATTGGAGGTCTTGGCTGTTTACCCTTGCACACTAAAGGATATAGCCTTGGTTAATTGCTAATTAGTTAGTCTAATCTAACTGGACATTAATAAAATAATTGCTGACAGAGGTGTTGGAGTTAATAATATTTGTCATTTTTACAATAAATCATACCATTAATAATGTATTATAAGATGAAAAGTCCTATGAGATCTATATTTGAGATTAAGTGGGAAGAGCTTGAAACCCAAGGTCGGTAAGTGATAACAAGAGCATAAAATATCTACACATTAAAAATAAATTATTTGTAATTTTTTATATAATTTAATTAATTCTTGCTCCTTCTGTCATAATTTCAATGTCAGCATCATGGATAATAATTCCCCCCACTAAATAAATAAACGAACAAACAAGATCCTGGAGAAACATGTCATATAAAGCATCAGTTTAAAAGGGTCTAGGTCACTTTGCCTGTTGAATGTCTCCGCTGTCAGCAACAGGCTTCCAAAAGACAATTAATGGACTAAACAAATTGACCTTAGGGCAGAGGAACAGAATAAATAAACCTCTGCTGCCAACAGCCACTTTGTGCTCATGCTGTGATACAGGTGACAAGGTAACCTCTGATAAGAAAATGCTATTAATAATGCATCAGTGATGAGAGATGCACAGAGCTATGTCTGTTTAATCTCCAACACAGATCTACGCTTTTTCCACAGACCATAGTAAATCTACAGTATTTTCTCTAGCACCCCTTGCCCTATTTATGTCATCCTGCTCAGCACAGCAAGCAGCTGCCAAACACGGCTGACTATTCCAAAGCTCCCCAGGGAGATTCTTCTGTTTTATTTTTTATCTTTTCCTTCCCTCCATTCTTTTATTTTTCACATGAGGAGTGCTATTGAAATGTAAATTTGGTTGCTCTGTGCATAGTCTCTGCAATATGGAAGGGGGAAACTGCTTTTGACAGATTTGTAGAAAATCAGCACATCATTTTATCCTCCTAAAACACACACTCATACGTATTCCCACCTAACAAATGAATGTGATGGCCTGTGATTCGAGTGGGAGTATAAACAGAGATTCTGTCTCAGGCTGAACGAGGACTCAGGTTACAAAGGTCTCACCATTGATATGAATGATGAATACACAGATGAATACTGAGTAAAATACAATTATTTCAATTGTTGACAAATGATAAGCCCATCTGACCTTTTTCACTGAGTATGACAATGGTCAGTGCTCCAAATTACATCTCTGAATGTTATCTTATGTATGTAGTGTATCCTCAGGCTCTTTTACTCTCTTTCTGGCTCACTGTACAAAAACAGATTAAAACAACTTGTCCTCAAACCCTGACAAACTTGGCTCTGTTTTGCACACTGCAGCCATAACCCGACTTCTCACTATAGTCGCTCTTCCGGTTTATCAGGCAGTGAAGGAGACCTGCGCTGTGTTTCCACGCAGTCACATAGATTACAGCTTTTGCTGTGCCGACACACCCTTCCAGTAGTCAAGGATGTCATGCAAGTCCTCCCCCTTGGCAAACTGGACCTTTTTGCGCAAGGCGTTTCCGGCTGTTACATAACAGGACTCCTCGCGTGGACCCTTTCTGTGGGGACGGAAGCGCTCCCAGATGCGCAAGGTGCTCTCGGAGGAGTATTCTGGACTCGAGGAGTAGCCAGAGTAATTGTGGTGACGGGGAGAGAGCTGAGAGTAGGAAGCAGCGTCTCTCTTGGTGTGTGACAGAGGCTTGAGAAAAGAGACCCTTTGGGCTGGGGAGTCATGGGAGCCCTCATAGTAAAGGGCAGGGACTGAGTGACGATGCTCTGCACAGTGGTAGTCTGGGTGCACCTCCAGGTGCTGCTGAAGGCCCATCCCATCTACAGTACCACCATCAATGCAACAGCCACCACCTCCACCACTACCTACTAAAGGGAGCCTGTCCAGGGGCTCACCGCACCCCAGTGGGCTGCCCTTGTCTTGATACTGGCAGGGATCTGGGCTGTGGGGTTCCGGAACATCTAGGCTGTAAACGCGACCTTTCCCACTGGAAGGGCGGCAGTGCCTCTTGGAAGAAGAGACGATGACAGCTGCATCGGCACTCATCTGTCTTTGAATAGGTCTCACTGCAGAAGCTGGGGGAGGTGGACGGTATGGCGGTGACACAAAGCCGCCCCCTGTGATCCCAGGTCTCTCGGACAGAGGAACTGTGAAGGGAAGAGGGGGTGGAGGAGGAATTTTTGGGGAAGGCAGTACTTGGCAAGTATCACTGACACTGGTAGAAATGGGAATCAGTCCTCTGGTCAGGGAGGAGGTAGAGGTAGGTGGGGGTGAGGTGGGACCACTTGCTGTGGTGGAAACAGTAGAGTCCAGCTTAAGGGCATCAATGCAATTGTTAATTATCTGGTTGACCTTGTCAACCTCCATCGCAATTGTTGAAATCTCGGATGCTGATCCATGGCCATCATCATCTGAATCATCACCCAGGTCACTTCCATCATCCTCCCTGAGGTCTTCCTCCCGAATACCATGTATCACAGCTCCATCTCTCCCCCTTTCGTCTCCTCCTACAGAGGTCCTAATATCCATATAGTTGCCCTTAGTGGCCATGGCCTCTGAGAAGGCAGTTGCCATCTTCTCTACTTGAGGGATGGAGGACAGACGTGAGGAACTAGTGTTGGCAGAACCATGGCCAAGCATGGCAGAGCTGGATGAGGAGGACATGGGTTGTTTGCCATGGTGATGCTGATGGTGGCTTTGCTCATGAAGTTTCTGGACAGCCATGGGGTCATTTGCAACTGCCGCTGCCACCTCTGGTCCGTATCGCATTTCCAGAATGGTCTTCTTCACACAAATGGATTTCTCTTTCTCTTCCTGTCGGCGTCGTCTTCGCAAGCAGTAGTAGACAAACCCGAGAACAATCAGCATTCCAAAGAGGCAGCCAACAATGGTCATGATGTAGTGGGTGGTCGTGGAGGGTGGGGGCATCAAGTCATCTGGATTTGGAGCTCTGGTAGAAAAGTATAAACAAGTGTGGTTGTAGCGCTGTGAGTTGCGTATAGATGCCACACAGAAGGTGTAGTTGGTGTTCGGTTTGAGCTTATTAAGGGTGATCATTTCCTTTTTATTCTTCAAGTTCTTCACATACGACACAAAGCTCTGATTATACTGCACCAGGATGTACATCTTGCTGTATGGCTTTGGAATCTGGATCAGAAGGGATGCAGAGGAGAGAGACACATGCTGCAGTTTGATGCTCGGACTAAATGCATTGTCAGACGAGGAGGAAGTTGTAGGCTGATGGTATGGTCCAATGTGGTCAAACATGTCAGGACCTATGCCAGAAGAATCAGGATCAGGTGGCAGAGATGTCATCCCTGGAATTAGCACCCCATCCCGGCACACAGAGGAAAGGATATAGCGAGCACTCCGTCCGTGCCCAGCCACAGGACTCAGCAACGGATAGCCAAACAGCTCCCGTGGGGTCTCGCACTGAAGTCGATCATAGGTGTGTGTGACATTGTTGAAGGCCTCTAACCAGGCGAGGAAGCTGTAGAGCTCACAGCCGCAGTGGAAAGGGTTTCCCGCAAGCTCACATCCCATGAGCCTGCCCAACACAGTGAAAGTGGATGGGTCTAGCCGGGCAAGCTTGTTCGATGACAGGTCCAGGTTGCTGAGGCTGGGGCACTCCCAGAATGCATTGGTGGCGATGACTTCTATGAGATTGTGCTGCAAGAAAAGACATTGCATACGTCCCAGACCTCGCAACATGCCTTCAGTCAGGTTGGTTAGCTTGTTATATCCAAGTTGCAACACCTGTAGATTTGCTTGGCTTGCAAAAGCACCGTCTTCGATGTACGAGATCTCATTCTTGGTGAGGTTGAGGTCGGTCAGATTTGTGAAGCGACTCAAGGAGGTGAAAAAAATAGCTTTAATCTTGTTCTCATTAAGTCGCAAGTCATGTACTGTGTTGTTGATGTGCTGTGGGATTGTCTCATATGGTGGCTGGTTCTGGCTGCAGATGGCCAACCACACATAGCCTTTATCCCCCTCGATGAGCCAGCAGTCACCTCTGACCAATGCTGGCGGGCATAAGAGCATGAAAAAGGGAAGGATGAGGAGCGTGGTACAGGAAGGAGTGAGGGCAGTCAATAAACTCTTCATGATGGGAGTGGAGAGGAAGGAGTTGTTTTAAAATAAACGGAAACAAGGTTGGATTCTTATGCGAGTCCGCTATTGAGAGTACAGATCTTTCACATATGCAAAAAATGGATTTCCTTTTGGGTTGTCAAAGCTGTTGACTTGTCATGGTTTCTTGCAGAGTCATTTTTGCTCATATCCAGTATAGCTGAGTTAGTGCCTGAAACATTTTTCACGCTGATTTTGACTTGAAGGACAACTGCTGGAGTCCTCTCTGTTGAATCTGTCAAATAAAACAAAGAAAGAACATATGAGCTTAATTGAACAAATATAACAAAAGATAATCTCATATACAAAAATAAAAACACAAATATACAGAAATATTTTATTTTATATAAAATCAAAAATAAATAAATTATTCAACATGGCATTTTTTTTGTCAAATTCTACAAACTATTTATAAAATATAGCTTCATTTTTAAAACACCTCATTTGGTTATTTATCACTTTAAAACAGAATATGTAGCCACTACTAACATATGAGTCATAAAACATGATACAATAACATCCCCTAATGGATTCTGCACAATAATGAACGACACTTCAACAACCCTTGAGAATCTCAAATCTTATCTATGCCTTAGTTCTTAGGTCCGTATTTTCATTACAGCTAATGATGAGATGCCACAAGCGCTTGTACAAGCTGGCACAAATGCATACATTTGTGTATATGTTCTTGGTTGTTGCTGTAAACTCCCTATATAAAACCAGGGAAACCCACTTCCATTTGGACCATTTCCCAACAAATCATTAATTAACTGTAAGAACAAATAGTGCCCTACCCTTAGATTTCATTGTCTTAATCATTAGGACAGTAGTAAATGAGCCATGCACTGGCTATCAAGAATAGGGCTCATTTATCTCACCCTGCCACCTATCAGTCAGGCCTCCATATAGACAGCGAGCGGGGATCGTGATATGACAAACATCATTAATCAACCAGCCATGCAAGGTTTCCCATTTCATGAACAGCATTCAAGGCCCGCTGTATGTCAGAGAGGAAAATATGTGTAGAAATGGGGGATTAAAATGCTTTTGCATTGTGCCAGGCGTCGTCCTCCTCTGAACGCAATGGAAAATAGAACACATTTGCACAGACTCCGACCTGCTGCTCAATCCTGATGAGTCTTACAGTAGCTTTTATTCTTATGTTCTAGCCTTGAGTACCATCGGTAAACACTCAAGTGACAGTTACAAGAATTTGTGATTTAATCCTAGGATTATGTGTCATCTGGAAAAAATGTATGGTTTCTTTCAAACAACAATCTAGAGTGGCCTCAAATATGAAATCTAGGTTGTAAAAAAGTTTGCAGCAAGTCCTAGTAACCAAACTATCTCCACTATGAAGGCCAAGGTTGAAAAACCCTTCTTTGACACAGATAAAATTCCCTCTTTTTCTCCCACCACTTCCCCTCATTGTGTTTTCTCTCAATCTCTTTGTCTTTCACACCCACTGTGTTTCATAATTTCTCACTGTCATTCAATTAATTGTACAAAAGCTTATTTTGCTAATATTGAATATAAATGTTTGCTAATCGAGAGTAATTGCCCTGAGTGTAATTAAAGTTAATCTGCTATTGTTTTTAGATCACTACCGAATCCCATACTGCAAAATATTAATGAAACAAGAACAATGACAATTTTAGTGAAGCATGCAATCACAAAACAGACCTATTAAGGGCTAAGGCTAGCAGGCAACATTTGCAGTCTGATCATGCCTACATCTCGATGCCCCTCCACCTTATCTCACTTGTTCCTCTCTTTCTCACTCTCACTTTCTTTCTCAGCCCACCAGAGATGTGATCTGGTTTGGTGCTCCACATAGTGAGGCCCAAAGGAAGCTTTAATTAGGGCTGGGACTAAAGCAAGGAGGTGCATCCCAATGAGAGAGCAGTCTGTATGTGTGAGAGCGAGACCAGCTAAAATAAATGAAGAATCATAACAACCTCAGTGGGATAGAAATCGCTTGTTTATTTTGCGACTCAATACCTTTACACCATGAGATATTGATTGATTGCACACAAAGCGTTTGCTTTCCTGCTTTCATTAATTTCGTACAGTCGTCAGAGCAACAGACAGATTGACACCTGGTCTAAACTTGGAAAGTGCTCTGGTTAGGAGTGCCAATTACTAATTGGTGTCTCTCCAAGACTATTACCTAATTAGTTACGATGATATTCCTCTAAATCTAAATGACATCTGTGTACACAGAGAGGGCCTAAATTTAAGTACAGGTAAGTACATTTTATATTGGCAGTGTTTAAGTATATGAAGTTTCTCTTTTTCCCCCTTAATCTTTCCATCTGCCAGCCTGTTCTTCGAGTAAATCCTAACAGGGCCTGAGTGGGAGGTTTGCTACATGGAAGTGTAAGAAGTCTCATTTCAGATTGGTGTGTGTGGGACCATATGTGCCATGATTTCATGTGATATTGCGAGATATACCAACACACAAGAGGCTTTTGATAATATATGTACTGCGTAGGCGCAGAAAAACACACACCTTGCCATGGTTCTGCTTTGTGTGGTGGTGATAGCTAAATTTGAAATCCCCAGAGAACATCTATATAAACATGCATTACAAACGTGTATGCAGACAATCTGGTTGTTGCACTATATACATTTCAGATGTGTTTTAACTTTTCCCAAGACTCAAGTGCAAATATTTTACTTTTGTTTTAAAGTATACTTATATGAGAGATATAGGGTGAGAAATGTGAGGAGGAGGAGAGAAGCAAAGAAAACAACAGCATATTTAAAGATTTGGCAATGATTTATGTTTCAGGAGGTCTGTAGCATTGGTGGGAGAGGATCTCTAGGTAACTTCTGAGGGTTGGAGAAGGGTTACGACAGCGTACCTCTGCTGGAGCCTCATCCTCATTGCTGCTGACTAGAACAGCACTGAGACCAGCTGCTATATGGACAGCACAGAGCACATCGCCATGGTCTCATTGTTTCCACTGACAGGTATCTGGGACAGTGTTGACGCTGATGCAAGAGAGCAGGCAGGCCATGTTTTCCTGAACCACTATTTTGGAGGAAAAGTCAGGCAGTGTGAGGTGATTTGAGCCAGTTTGAGGCAATGTGAGGTTGTGAGAAGTGATACGAGTCGATCTGAAGCAGCGTGAGGTGGGATTGTGTGAGGCGGTCTGAAGCAATGTGAGGTGATACGGAGCAGTTTTAAGCGATGTCAGGTGGAGTAACTTTGAAACAGTCTGATGCAATGTGAGCCACATGTACGTTCACATGCACTTTAAGAGTTCAGTTTCAGTCAGACTAAAATAATCATTTGTCCTGTAATAAAATGTCATGTAAATGCTTTAGTAAGATTGAAATCTTACCTGGCTGGTTTTTGCTGGAAAACTGACCTAGATAATGCAATTGTAGCTCAGCTTCATGTAGAATTTATATTTATAAATGTTAATGTGACTAGCAGTTGGCCTTGCTGTTGTGCACTTGCTGGTGATGCACAAAAAACCATGGCCAAACTATTTCTAACCCTTAGCCAAACTAAACTAATTGAAAACATATTTAATTTAAACCTTCAAATGTCAAAATATATTACAAAATGCATCTTTACAGAACTTATCAAAATGTATAAGTTTGAAGCCAGTAAGTTTTTTAAAGAAACAATTTCTTCATGATGCATTCAATTGATCAAAAGTGATTTCTATTTCAAATAAATGCTGTTCTTTTTAACTTTTTATTCATCAAAGAATCCCAAAAAAGTCCTGTTCTGAAAAGAGTCCAGTATCACATTTAAAAATAAATAAATAAATGCAGACATTAATTACGCAGCACAATTGTTTTCAGTATTGATGATAATAATAAATGTTTCTTGAGCAGCAAATCAGTAGTATATTATAATGACTTCTGAAGGATCATGTGACACTGAAGACTAGAGTAAAGACTGCTGAATAAATTACATTAAATTACATTTTAAAATAGAAAACCGTTATTTCACAATATTACTGTTTTACTGTGATTTGATAAAATAAATGCGGCCTTGATGAGCATGAGATAGTTCTTTCAAAAACATTTTTAAAAAATCTGACTCCAAATGTTTGTAAAAATATACATTAACATATAATATGGGATATATGGGAAATATTTAATTACAAATGTGTCATGTATACTTGGACAAACAGATGCAGACTAAAGCTTAGCTACACAAAAACTTTCTATAACTCTATTAGGTAACACTTTATTTTAAGGTGTCCTTATTACACGTTACATGCATTTACTATTATAATAACAATAAATTATGCATGATTACATACAAGTAACCCTAAACCAAATCCTAATCCTAACCCTAACCATACAGTAAGTACATGTAGTTAATTAATATTACTCAGTACTTAAATGTATAATTACACTGTAACAAGGACACCTTAAAATAAAGCGTAACCCTCTATTATTACTGTGCACGCATATAAACATTGTGAAACAAATAAGAGTAAGTTTAAAGCAATGTCAAGCAGTGTGGCTTGATACAAGTCTTTTTGAAGCAATGTGAGGGTGATGAGAAGCAGTTTGAAGTAAGGTGTATAGAGAAGTAGTGTGAGGTGGCATGAAGCAACGTGAGGCAGAGTAAAATTATGTGAGACAGTCTGAATCAATCAGTGTGAGGCATGTAAGGTGATCTGAGACTGTGTGAGGTGGCTTGATTCATCAGGTTTGCTTGCCTGTGGTGAGCCAGAGCTCAGCCAATACTGCTTAACATCTGCAGCAGGAGCCATGCCAAGCCTCTAACAAACCCACAGGGAGAATATGTTTGTGTATCACACACCTGCTGCTGCTGCTGCCTCAAACAACATCACTGTACTTATAGCTGGGCTTTAGAGATGTCTGTCTATACACATGCACAGACTGTGTTTAGTCAGTGGGGATGATTAGTAGTCATTATGTTATTGGCAACTGCATGGGAGAGTACCAATATGTACGAAAAAGATAAGGCGTATGTGATAAGTCTGTGCTAGTGTGTTTATGAGTGGGGTAAGACGTGTCAGTGTGTACACTGTATATTTTCTTTGTCAAGTGTCAAAAACTTATCTAGATCTAAAAAATATATTATACATATTCCCAGTGTATGAAACCATGTAAATTATTTGTCAAAAAATATGGTAATACTTTACTTAAAGCCTTTATGTGCATTATAAAAGTAGTTTTGATGCATTAATTATGCCTTGTAATGCACCTTATAATGCACAATGCAATCTCATGAAA